AGGTACAGCAGCTGAATCTAAAATCCTAACATTTACAGGCATTTTGATGTTCTAAATTAAGAAGTGAGCAACTAGTGTAGAAGTTGAATGTGTGTGTGTGTGTGTGTGGGGGGGGGGGGGTGTAATGCAAAATCGAATGTTTTGAGCCTTATATCATGTTATGTCATTCCCTCATCAAAAACATACCCAGAGTGTTGCTTTAACTCATTCATGCATGTTTGAGAAGTCCTTGATTCTCCTGTGGTAGCCATGTGGAGCTGCCGAAACATTTGCTGGTACAAAGCCCCACCCATTTGTACAAAGCTCCTCCCTGGAGCTGAGACTGTAGCAGGGATCCCGTCCCACACAGCATTGTTATAAAGACATGCTGAAGTGGGAATGTCAGAAATGGTAGATTGTTATTTAAGAGACAGGCTAATTTCAAGGCACTTAGATAGGCTAAGATATAAAGTCAAATTTATTTTTGTTATATACTGCACTTTCATAACAACTGAAGATAACATAGTTACTTGATTGTGATATAGAATTGAACTATGTGGCTGAAAAATACCCCCCCCTCCAAATAACTGTATTCTCGTATTGTAACATGATTATAATTATGTACTCCTCTGTGCCTACTTCAGACTTGAGAGTTGCACTAAATACAAAAACATAAGTCGTTTAGCCGCATCTCATATGACACTTTATTATTTTAAGACTGAGTTCTTTGTGAAATGGAGATTCAAGACCTGGAAAATCACCAGTATGRTTTCTGAAAGTTCAAAAAGGCCATTAATGGGTCAGGGAAACATTATCTCAATTGATCCAACATTGATCCCGGGCGTATTGATCAGGTAATTAGAGAAACAGGGGAGATAAATGAGAAGACGAATGTGGCGACAGTTATTTTGGATCTCCATTAATCCTGAGAGAAGGCCAGTCACACTCCGWGCCTTAAACTGTTTGCAGATCCCGTGACACAATCAGTGCAGGTCATTAAATGTGTGTCTCTTGTGTTGTCATCGCAATTAGCATGTGTAACTATGCTGCCACCTAGTGATTTCTTCTATTAAAAGAGAAGGACACAGATTCAAAACAGGGAGGAAAAGAAACAAGCTGAAGGAAAAACCATTTATTGAAGGCATGGTAGAGGACAGCATAAACTATTCTCTTCAGAGCATAAATTAAATTATTAGTGGGTAATTGCTGATTTTCTCTTTGATCTGTATAATCATCGTAAACACTAATGAGGCAACAACTGGTAGGAGGATTGGAGAAAGAGAAAAGAGATGGAGACAAAGTAGGTCAAACAGAAAAAGGCAGAGTCTGTTGATGTAACAGGAAGCACATGAAAAAGATTAAAAAAAAGTCTGCAGCAGAAAAAGGATCATCATCACTCAGTTTTCATCATTGTGATGCTGTTTAAGAAGAAAAAATAATTTGAATCTTTTGGTGAGCTGAAAATTTAATAAACTTGTCTGTGATGTTTAGGCCATGTCTACATCACTAAGATGTTTTTAAAAGGGATTTTTATTCCGGAGAGGAGGGTCCGTTGGATAGTCGAATCTCGGATTCAGGAAGAGCAGTGTGGTTTTCGTCCCGGTCGTGGAACAGTAGACCAGCTCTACACCCTCAGCAGGGTCCTGGAGGGTGCATGAGAGTTCGCTCATCCAGTCTACGTGTGGTTTGTGGACTTGGAGAAGGCATTTGACCGTGTCCCTCGGGGACTCCTGTGTGTGTGTGTGTGTGTGTGTGTGGGGGTGGGGTACTCTGGGAGTATTGATACAGGCTGTTAGGTCCCTGTCTGACCGGTGCCAGAGCTTGGTCCGCATTGCCGGTCGGACTCGTTTCCGGTGAGAGTTGGACTCCACCATCGTTGCCCTTTGTCACCGATTCTGTTCATAACTTTTATGGACAGAATTTCTAGGCGCAGCCAAMGTGTTGAGGGGATGCTTTTTGGTGACCTTAGGAACACATCTCTGCTTTTTGCAGATGTTGTGGTCCTATTGGCTTCATCAGATCTTGATCTCTGGCTCTCGCTGGAGCGATTCACAGCCGAGTGTGAAGCAGCCGGGATGAGGATCAGTGCCTCCAAATCCAAGACCATGGTCTTGAGCCGGAAACCGGTAGCGTGCTGCCTCCGGGTCGGGGAGGAGGTCCTGCCCCAAGTGGGGGAGTTTAAGTATCTCGGGGTCTTGTTCACAAATGGGGGAAGGAAGAATGGAGCGGGAGCTCGGCAGGCGGATTGGTGCTACATCTGCAGTGATGCGGGCTCTGTACCGGTCTGTCGTGGTGAAGCGGGAGCTGAGCCAGAAGGCAAGGCTCTCGGATAACCGGTTGGTCTACGTTCCTACCCTCATCTATGGTCTGGACTGAAAGAATGAGATCGRGGATACAAGCCGTCAAAATGAGTTTCCTCTGCAGGGTGTCTGGGCTCTCCCTTAGAGATAGGGTGAGAAYCTCAGTCATCTGTGAGGGACTCAGAGTAGAGCCGCTTCTCCTCCACATCGAGAGGAGCCAGTTGAGGTGGCTCGGGCATCTGGTTAGGATGCCTRCTGGACGCCTCCCTGGTGAGGTGTTCRGGGCARGTCCCACTGGGAGGAGGCCCAGGGGAAGGCCCAGGACACACTAGAGGGWCTATGTTTCTCGGCTYGCCTGGGAACGCCTTGGGATTCCCCCGGACGAGCTGGTCCAAGTGGCTGGGMAGAGGGAAGTCTGGGTCTCTCTGCTTAGGCTGCTGCCCCCACGACCCYATCCCAGATAAGCGGCAGAAAATGAATGAATGGATGGATAGATGGATGGATTTTTATTCCTTAATGCACAACTATTTTCCTTTCAGCGTTGCAACACAAATGCTGTAATACCTATGCCAGACCACTAGAAGGCGAGAGCACTCACATTAACCACATATAAACATACAGAGAAAGGGCATGCTGGCAGAAAAAAAAAGCAAAACTTTGATTTTTCTTTGTTATTGTTTTCAGTTTACTTTTACTTTTTAATTCAGTTATTAACTCATGACAACTGGATCAAGATACAGGAAAACAGTTGCTGAAAACTGGTAAGTGTAGGTTTTTTGTTAGTTTGGGTTTTAGTGCACAAAAAGACATTGTGCATGCGCTCCATAGGCTGGCACATCATAGTACAAAAAAAAGTCCTAATTTGCCGGGGGGTTCAAATCTTCACTTCCGAAACATGTTCTTTTATTTGCATTTTTCCTATGCCAAAACCCCTGTGTGTGTATTATAGGCGCAAACACAGCAGAAAAAGTCTGTTTTCTTAAATCCTCTGGAGTAGTGTAGACACACCTCTAATCCCAGTGAGAGACTTTCTTTGTGAATTTGAGAGATGTTGGTGATTTGGTTGTACTGCGGTCAATAAAAAGTTAAATTATGTAGCTTATAGGTTATGTAAATTATGTAGCTTCAAGACAAAAACATGAATAACAGACAACAAATTAGCAGGGATTTTCTGCGAACACAATCTCTTTAAATAAGTAGCTGAAGCCTAAAGCAAATTAGCACCYACCTGCCTACCCAGCACCCACCCAAAGTAGCCAAATTAGCCTAGCTTAGCTGAAAGACTCTAAGCTTTCTACCTAAATTTTAGGGTGTTGATATCAATAGTACAATATGCACTAATGATACTTAAAATATATGTCTAAACAAATCATAAACATCTAGAGTAAAATTGGGTTACATTTGGTTTAAAAGTAAGYGTTTGTTTTTCTTAGTAAACGATGCTATTTATTAAGGTATACAACAATAAATTTACTTGCAGCATGTACAGTCTTAGATTATACTGTATTATGTTATAAACACAATTAGAATAATATATGCTAATTGCAGCAAATATTTAATCTGAGAATAACCGCTGTAATTTGGTTATTTAACTGCTTGTTTTATAATGCTTTGAAAACATCCTGGCTTGTATAGTTGTCGTCCACCACCTAAATCAAGGCGAATGATAATGTTTTTGCTTGTGTGTATGTGTTTATGTGTCTGTCTTACGAGAGCTCCAGAAAGCTATACTGAAGAGGGGAAACCTGGTTCCTTGTGAAAGTGACTGATTTCTCACAGCTGTGTTCGTCCCAGTAAATAAACTTAAATAAAAGGAATTGTGCTAAGTGTGACGTAAATTGGATCTAAGGCTAGACACCTGTGTACGAGGAAAACAAAATATAAAGAGATGGCGGGGTATCTGTGTTCTGTAGAAGTTACAAATGCCACTGTGAAATGCYGAGATCAGAGACATTTGAGTCACCTACTGTTTGAAGTCTAATCCGATGCATCAGACCAGCTTTGAACAGCCACGCCAAGTCACAAATACCACATCAAACTTTACTGCTCTGAGAGAATATTAGAGAGAAACATGGAGGGGAAACATACAGTAGGTGAGTGCACTGCGAGTGCAATTTAACAGTCAATAAAGCAAGCAGTCGCAAAAACAATAGAGTAGCGATGGACATTATCTATAGACAGACACACAGAGGGGAGGAAACAAAGAGGCCATTGTGAGTTTGACTGCCTCGGCTCTTCAGCGTATTGGTTTCCATGAGAACACAAACGTGAGCGAGCAAACAGGTGGCAACCTCGAAAAGCACAGTGACTCGTCCTGTTTGTTTTTACAAACAAGTTGTGTACATTCCGTGGAAACAGAGCTGCTAATGAACCAACACGCTGTGGTGAGTTTCCTGAAACACACTGATCATCACAGTCACTGCTGATAAGATACTACTGAGATGAAAAAAAGAAAGGAGGAGAAAAAGGATAAATGAAGCAGATGCTCAATAGGTTGTAGTAAGCCTAAGAGTTAAATGGTTGTAAGTCATCGCTCAGTAATATTTGTTATAAATACAACAAGAAAACCAGAAAATAGTTTGCCACATTTATGACATAAAGAGTGGTTCAACAAAATGGTGGAGCTGAGTAACCAAACAGGACAACAATGAAAAGGTAAGTGATTTATTTACAGGTGAATATTGCTGGTCATCTGGCTGTGAAGAGGAGGGAAATGGAGAGGTGAGTTTGGATTGCAGATTAAGTTTCTTAGGTGAAATTGTAGAATTAACTTAGGTTTTTTTTCTTACAGGTTTCCAGGAGGCGAGCAGCATGGAAGGAGGAGGACTTCACAAAGGTAAGGTTTGTTTCTTTTTTCTTTTTTTTTTCCAGGCAGAGTGGCAGGAGGGATACTCTTAATTCGATGCTTGGTAATTGGTTCCTTTCCGTGTTTCCAAGTAGGAGGGTTTCCAGGACAASTGGTTGAGGATACAAGGCTTCAGACTCTTGGTGATCCACCTTGGAGCAAAAAACTAAGGTAAGTCAAAATATACTGTAGTTCAAGGTACTTAGTTAGCTTTAACAATACCATAAGGGTAAGATGCATCAGCGTAGACCAGATGGTGGAGACGCCTTATAAAGCCATCAATCAGCTCATCAGAGGAAATCCCTCYCAGGTGCAGAGAATGAGTGCAGGAARCAATCAGGAAAGGACAAACCAAGACGAGTCATCACAATTTCAAGATGTATAGGACAATTTGTAACTTGAATGTGTCAGAGACACAGCAAATAAAGATAAAACACTTGTGTCTGACGAATGAGAAACATTAAGCCTGGTTTATACTTCGACAACAAAAGATACATTGGATCAGCATCATTTTGGACGTAATTTTTCTTACTGTTTATACTRGTGAGGTATAAATAATAATAATCCCTTCCACAGCACTCCAAATGTAGCACATAGCACATACCTGAGACTATAAACAACACGAGTTATAGCAGGATAGATAGTTGTTTTTCTCACGTGAAGATGTATCAGTTGCTTGAAGAGAGGCTTGTGTTGGTAATTAAATTCAATCATTATTTTTTTAATAATGTGCCAAGTCATCGAACACTGTCTCAGAGCACTGTACAAAAATGTTTACCTACATTTTAAAACAAATTAGTAAATGTTATCAACCTAAAGAGACAAGCAGATTGTATTTAATTCTCAATTTATCACAGTATCCCATTTTGAGCAGCACACTGGCGACAGTGGAAAAAAAAGTCTCTCTTTTAACAGGAAGAAACCTTCAGCAGAACCAGGCTCAGAACGAGCGGTGGTTTGTCGCTTTTTCAGACAAGGAGTCGGAGGAAACTTGTTTATTTATTAATTTTTTGTTAACCGCGAAGATGGAGAGAAGATGTGAACATTGGTTGCATGTTTGCATGTTCAAGAGGACCAGACGAGTTGCTCCTCAAAGTTGTCCATCTTGCTAGTTTAACAACAAAATGGCATGCAGAAGGATGCGCTGCTCCGCATAAACAAACACACCCATAAGTTCTGACCAAGGAGGTTCTATAGAACAGCTGGAGTGCGCAAAGACCACGTGACCGTGTGATCGGCTGGAGAAGCTAAAGGCTAACTCTAAACGGGCAAGAGTCTGGATTTCCCAATGCTGTACATGATGACAACAGAGCAGAAAAAAGGATTGACGATGTTGAAATCATAATAATAATAATAATAATCCAGTTATTATTAATATTTTACAGTTTATATAATCTATCTAATGCTTTACATAAGGCCAGAAAAGCTGTTTGTGTTATGGATTTATTAACAGAATATAAACAGGACGTCTCATTTTACATCACAAGTAAGCAGATTTGATCTTATTTAGCTCAATGTGATCTGAGCAGAACATAATGTAACAGTTTAAAAATTAAAATAATCTTATAAAGTCGATTTTATCACTGTTATTTATTGAATTGGTTATCAGAAGTTAGCTTGTGGAGCATATATACAGAGTGTAGCACTGTTGAATCATGCTACAATTTAACACAAACTACTAAATATTACAGCTGATTTGTCCTCTGATTAATATTTAGACCTACAGAGTGTAAAATAATATTATAAATGTGAGTATTTTTAGGTTTCTGTTAAAGGAACCTGACCTGTT